AGGAATTGGAGTAAATGGACACGGAGGTCTTTTTCAGCTCTAGAATGTTAATCCTATGATATCTACACAAGGGACTTCTAGGTATATATATCCTGACCTAGTCTCTCCCCTGGGCTCCAGTCTTGTTACACCAACTGCCTAGTAGATATTTCAGAATAGATGTATCACAGGCAGCTTAATTCTTAAAATGTCCAAAACAGAACTCACTATCTCCTCCCCACATCTTGACTTCTCTCTTTCTATCGAGGGAGAACTTTCTTCTGGTCACTGACATTAATGACCTCAGAGTCCTCTTCCCTTCCTCACTCTCCCTTGCCTTATCTCATCATCATTGTCAGTTCTATCACCACTCCCAATCTGTACTCCTCTCTTGATTCACACAGCCAACACCTTGATTCAGATCGTCACCACCTCTCCAACAAGCTATAGCAATTTCCTGATTGCTCTCCCTGCCTCCAGTCCATCCTCTCCAATCTGCCCTTCACACAGTTGCCAATTTGATATTCATAAAGCACAGGGTTGACCATGTCACTGCCCTGTTCTAGGGGCTCCGGTTCAAGGCTTCTTAACCTGGGGTTTGTGAACTTGTTTTGTTTGTTTTTCTTAACATTTCAGTGCTATCATTATCCCCATTTTACAGATGAAGAAACTGAAACAGGCAGAGGTTAAGTGACTTGCCCAGGGTCACACAGCTAGTAAGTGTCTGAGGCTGGATTTGAATTCAGGTCCAGACCCAGTGCTTTATTTACTTTGCCATCTGGCTACCTCAGCGACACAGAGGAAAGAGGGCTAAACTTGAGGTCAGAGATCTAAGTTTGACTCCCATCTATACCATTTAGAATCTATGCATGTGCCCATGGACAAGCCACTTCAGCTGCCTGAGCCCCAATTTTCTCTTCTGTCAAATAAAGGGCTTAAACTAGGGGACTTCTAGATTCCCTTCTGCCAGAGATGTCAAACACACCCACATGCAACTTAATAACACTCCCATGTAGCCTGCACCAGATTAAAATGTAACTGGAAAATATTTAACCGGATAAAAATTTAACAAAACGTAAATAACATTAGGTTGGAAAACTAAGTCAGTGTGTGATCCGTAGGGATCCTTACGTACAGATTAGTGACCCCTATTTCTATGAGTTCAGCACTAGTGCTCCAAGCTCTCTATGAGAGCTCACTTCAGGTATTTGAAGGACTATTATGGAAGGCAAAATGGACTTGCTTTGTATGGCTCCATGGGGCAGAATAGAAAGAGAACAATGGGAAAAAGACAACATGAGACACTGGAAAGTTAGTCAGTCCATAGGCTTTTTTTTATTAAGTGGGAGAGAGTACAGAATGGAGGCAGGACCTGAGTTTCAATACTACCTCTGCTTGTTATGATCCTATGTGACCTGGAGCCAGTCACTTAAGCTCACCATGCCTCAATTTCATCTCTGTAAAATGAAGACCCTTTGAACTACCAGAGGTTCCCAAACTTATTTGGCCTACTGTCCCCTTTTTAAAAAAAATTTACTTAATGTCCCCATGGAAATCTACTTTCTTTAACCCTTTAATGGTTTTTTTGAAATTTATGTCATTTCAAAAAATGTATAAAATATTTTTAAATGACACATCTTAAATTTAATAATTTATTATAAATTTGTAGGTTTTTTCTGTACTGAAATTTTGATGATGCAATATTGCATCATGTAACCAAAAGTATCATACTGTAAACAAGTCATTACATGCAGATATTCCTGCTGATGCATGCTGGACTTCCCAATAATGCACAACACACTTGCCTGCCAACACTTTCTTGTTAAGACCTGTTGGCAGACTTGACCACTGATGGGTTATAGCTTGCATTTTGTGTGTTTATTTGGAAAATAATGTAATCACTATGACTTTAACTCTGTTACACAATAGGTGAAACATATATGAATGGTTTTCAAGATTTTCTTATCTTCTTTTCTTTCCTTATACGTTCACCACCCCTTTATTTTTTATTCAATGCCCACCCAATTTCACCTAAGGCTACTACCTCCCCCTTGGATTATTCTAGCACCCCCCACTTTGGGAACCTGTGGACTAGATGATCTCTAAGGACCCTTCCATCTCTAAACCTATGATTCTAAATTCTAGGGAGATAGATTTTGATTTAATACTTTAAGAAAGAAATGAAAAGAAAATCTATCCACCAGGCAGATGGCACATCATAGTGGAAAGAGCCTTTTGGCTAGACTCAGGAGACCTGCATTCACATTCTGACCTGACTCTTGCTATCTGGTTTGACCTTGGGTAAGTGTCCTCTCTTCTCTTAATCTTAGTTTCCTTGTATATAAAAACAAGGATGAACATTCTTGCCTTTTCCTGCTTGATAAGAATGCCCCTTTAAGCTTTGAGGGGCAACATGGTAAGGGAGAAAAAGCTCTGGGTTTGGAGTCAGAGGTCCTGGGCTCAAAATTCAGATCTGCCACTTATTGGTTCTATGACAGTGAACAAGTCATTTGACCCATCAGAGCTTTGGTTTCCTCATTTGTAAAATGCAGGGTTGGACTAGATCTTTAAGGTCCCTTTTGTTTTTCAGTCATTTCAGTCATGTCTTGGTGACCCTATTCAGGATTTTCAGGGCAGAGATACTGGAATGGTTTGCCATTTCTTCTCCTGCTTCCTTCCAGCTCTAAATTTAACTGAGCAAGAATTTATTGGGGGGCAGCTAGGTGGCATAATGGATAGAGCACTGGCCCTGAAGTCAGGAAGACCTGAGTTCAAATGTGGCCGCAGACCAAACACTTGATACCAGCTGTGTGACTGTGGGCAAGTCACTTAACCTCAATTGCCTAAAAAAAAAAAAAAGAATTTTTTAAAAATGCCTACTGTACCTGGCACTATGCTAAGTCATAAGCATACAGAGATGAAAATAAAACCATCTGTGCCTTCAAGGAGCTTACATTCTATGGATTGACCATTGAATGCACACTTCTATAAAATGAATTCATTAAACAAAATGTCCTATGAACTCACATTTCTGTTAAAATTTACAAAGTGTGAGTGTATGTGAGTATATCTCTCTGCAGGTGTGAGCATCTGTGTGACTCTGAGAATGTATATGAGTGTGTATGTGTCTCTGTGAGATTGTACTAAGAACATGTGTGGCTATGAGACTGTATGCCACTATATAAGTGTGTGTGCCTGCGCTCATCTGCCTCCCTGAGCACTGTGAGTGCCAACCTTGGGCAAACTTAGAGGCAACAAAGTTTGACTTTGGAGTCCTGTTTTTTCACTGTCAGCACAATGGAGGTGGCAGCTTCTTCATCACTTATGCATCAGCCACCTGCTGTTCTCAGGTTCGCCACTGCTACCTCCAGTTACATGGGCCCCCACCTGGTTTGATTTGGATTGTCCAAGAAAGACCCAGATCTCTTGTTATTAATCTGCCTTCGGGAGGAGGAGCTGTGGCAGTGGGCGGGGGGAGCTGAGGCACACACGGCAAGCCTGTCTGAAGTGCAGAGGGCTGAGATAAACCACATTCCCCATCAGTCCTGATGGCTGGCTCCAGCTATAACCCTATTTGCAATAAAACCAGATTCAGTGATATGAGAAAATTGCTTGGTTTCAGGATAATTGAACCAGCCAGGACAGATCTGCACAGAGGCATCATTAACTGAATACTTTGCTCATCTGCAATATTTATTCCTGCGGCAACGTGAACAGTCACCCACCCTGTTATCTCCCAGGCGTAAAATTGTTTTATGGCCCCATGCACCATTCTCTATCTGGTTCTCTTCACCGTGGAGCAACCTGCCCCTCACTTTCCACCTCGCGTTTCTCAGAGGTGTCTGTTCCCTTGTAGAGCAGGCCAAGGGTGAAGATAATAATAGAATTCATGGGACTTAGAGCTGGAAGGGGCAATCTAGTCTAACTACCTCATTTTACAGATGAGAAAACTGAGGCTCAGAGGAGCCATGACTTGCTAGAGGTCCCATTGTTAGTGACAGAGCCTGTGTCAAACCCAGGGCTTCCTAGTCCACAGACAATGCTCCTGCCGCAGAGCAGTGCCATATTGTTGCACAGAGCTTCCAGCAGCTCACATTGCATAAGATCACAAAGCTAGAGCATGAAGGGAGCTTAAGACCCTCTAGTTCAACCCCCTTCTTTTAAACTGAAGGCCCAGCATGGTTAAGTGAATCTCCTGAGGTTGCACAGGGAGTAAATGACTAAGACAAGATTCAAACCCGGGGCCTTGGCTCCAGAGCCTGGGATCTTTCTACTGCACCATGAGCACATAGGTCTTGAAGTTGAGAACCATTTTCAAATCCTGCCTTTCTCCCATTTACTAGCAGTGTGACACTGGCTGAGCACTTCCCTCTCAACATCTCAGTTTCCTTTTAATAAAGGGAGATAATAATCCCTAGCATGATTGAGAGGAAAGGCATCTGTAGAACTGTAAAATACTGGAGAGTAAGCTCCGAAAGAGTAAAAGTCAAGGCGTATTTATCCTTGGATCTTCCCTAGGACCTTGCACAGTGACTTCTGGCTATTTCACAAAGGCTTGTCAACTTGACCCTTAAAGTTCTATAGGCAAAGGAGCTATTGCTTTGGGCAGGAAAGTGGCACGCTGGATAGAGCGGTGGGCCTGGAGTCAGTAAGATCTGAGTTCAAATCCAGTCTCAGACTCTTACTTGCTATGTGACCTTAGGCAAGTCACTTTACCTCTGTTTGCCTCAGTTTCCTTGACTGTAAAATGGGGATAAGAACAGCACCTACTACTTCCCAGGGTTGCTGTGATCAAAAGAGATAATATATGTAAAGTGCTTAGGGCAGTGTCTGGAACATAACAGGTGCTATATAAACGTTTATTCCCTTCCCTCACCACCCACTATTACTTTTACTGCCTTAGCCAGAATGGTATAATGCTAGACTTAGAATTAGGACAGCTGGAATTGAATCTCAACTATGATGCTTCCTACTTGGTGACTTTGGACAATCCACTGAATCTCTGGGTTTTTTTCAATCAGCCCAAAAGCTCCCATCCTGATTCTGAGGCCCTTTCCTTCAGTCACTGAGCCTCTGTTTCTTCATCTGCGGAATGGACTTAATAATCCTAATGGTGGGGAGGTAAGCTCTTTACAAATAAATCTCAAATCTTAATAGAAGTGAGATTTTTAAAATAAAAAAAGTTTTAAAATTGTTTTAACATGCAATGGGGGGGAATAAAATATTATATTTTTTAAACATTATTATTATACAAGCTGCCTCTTTCTCACCACAAGCCAATAAAAGGTCATTGGCCACCAGGAGAGTGCAGCTAGGCCCTGGGGCTAATTACTTTGGGTTTTCTACTTCCTCCAGCTCCCAAACATTTTTATCCAGGTGTAGTCAAGTCTATGGAGTAGTAGAGAGCTCTTGATTCTGTTTTCAATGCTTATTATCGCTAGAGTAGTAGCAGGATGGCGTTGGGCAAGTCAGAATCTCAGAGTTCAGAGGGACCCTAGGAGCCCTCTGGTCCAAGCCAAACCTGAACAAGCCTGCCCTCAACCACACACCCTACAAATAGTCACTGAACCTTTGTTTAAAGACCTCCTATGAAGGTAAAAAGTTTACCTCCCCACCATTAGGATTATTAGCCCCATTTCACAGATGAAGAAACAGAGTCTCAATGACTGAGGGAAGGGGCCTTAGGATTGGGATGGGAGATTTTGGGGTGATAAAGCATCTCTCCTATTTTTTACTGTTAACAATTGGTAAGAAGTCTTTTCTTGCCTAAAGCTTAAATTTGCCCATTTAAGTCTTCCCTGTGCTAAAGCTAAACAGTAATTCCACCTTCCACCAATGTGCATATGTCATGAACTTAAGACCCATTATCATCCTGGATGCCCTCCTCTCGATGTTCTCTGTCTTATCATTATCCTCTCAAAAATAAGGCCCCTGAATTGAACACAATACTCCAGATGGAGATCTAACCAGAGCAGAGTATAGGGGGGGCCATTACCTCTCTCATTCTGTATGCCATGTCCCTCAATACAAACCTAGATTATAGTAGGTTTTTTTTGCTAACATATTGTTGACTTATATTGAGCTTACATTCCACTAAGATCCCCAGATCGTTTTCAGACTAACTGCTGTCTGTCTGACCCTTATCCTTGTGAAGATGATTTTTTTAACTACACATTTATCCTTATTAAATTCATCTTGTTATATAGATTTGACCCTACATCCTAGCCTATCAAACTCTTTTTGAATCCCGACTCTGTAAGTCAATGTGTTAGCTATCCTTCCCAATTTTATTCCATCTGAAAATTTGACAATTAATGTCATTTAGGTGGCACAGTGCATAGAACAGTGGGCCTGGAGTCAAGAAGGCCTGAGTTCAAATCCAGCCTCAGACACTCACTAGCTATGTGACCCTGAGCAAGTCACTTAACCTCTGTTTGCTTCAGTTTCCTCATCTGTAAAATGGGGATAACAGCATCTACCTCCCAGGGTTGTTATGAGGGTCAAATAAGAAAATAATTGTAAATTGTTTCACACAATGTCTGACATGTAGTACGTGCTACATGGATGTTAGCTATTATTATTGTTATTATTATTATAGCTATTATCTCTCTAGCCAAGTAATTAGTAGAAATTTTAAATATCACAAGGACAAGAGCAGATCCTTGAGACAGTCCACTTTACATGCTCTCATTATTGAATTTGACCTTACAAATTTTGTGAGATGGTTAGCACAGGTCGTACCTATTTGACAGATAATTGTTGTTCAATTGTTTTTCAGTCCCGTCCAACTCCTTGTGACTCCATATGAGGTTTTCTTGGCAAAGGTACTGGAGTGGGTTGTCATTTTCTTCTCCAGTTCATTTTATGAATAAGGAAACTGAAGCAAACAGGATTAAGTGACTTGTCCAGGGTCACACAGCCAATAAGTATCTAAGGCCGGATTTGAACTTATGAAGATGAGTCTTCCTGACTCCAAATCTAGCATTCTGTCCACTGCACCACCTAGCTGCCCTATTGACAGATAAATCAGCCAATAAACAAGCATTTATTAAGAGTCTGCTGTGTGCCAGGCACTGAAGATACAAAACCAAAATAAAACAGTGCCTTCCCTCAAATAACTTATATTCTAAACAGATCAAGGAGCTAAGACAAGGAAACTACACCAGGCTCTCACAGAAAGTAAGTGGAAACATCAATTCTATCCCTCCATGTCCAGGTCTGAGGATTACTTTCCGACCTCTCTTAGGCATACGGAGCCTAGATTTGTTCAGCCCTCTTTCATTCTGGCCAAGATTTTAGAATCTCCAATTCATGCATTGTAAACTCCACGATATCCAAGGCATTTGATACCTGGGCCTGTGATCAATTTGTGGGAGATTCCCCTTCTAGACAGAAGGAAAATACTGGAGACCATATCAAGAGAGCTCTGTGAAAACTCTCACCAGTCTTCCATCCAGTCTTTCCCACTGATTCCATCTAAATACTTGGGGTTGAGGCAAAATTCTGACCTATCACACTATATATTCACTTTGATAAGCAGCCTGCTCAGTCAGTCAATTAATCCACAAACATTTACTAAGGAAATTAAGAGAGCAGCTAGATGGGGCATGGATACAGAGCTGGGCCTGGAGTCGGGAAGACCTGAGTTCAAATTTGGCTTCAGACACTTACCATCTGTGTGACCCTGGGCAAGTCACTTAACCCTGTTTGCCTTAGTTTCCTCATCTGTAAATGAGCTGGAAAAGGAAATGGTAAATCACTCTAGTATCTTTGCCAAGAAAACCCCAAGTGGTGTCACCAAGAGTTGGGCAGAATTGAAAAATGACTGAACAACAATAACTAGGACTAGTCCCTTAACCTTTCTTGGCCTCAGTTTCCCCATCCCTCATTTAAAATGAGGATAATGATATTTGCACAGTCTACTTCACACAAACGTGATGGATTCTTATTATCCCTAATGCTCAAAGCTCTTGGACAATGGAATGTCCCATCTTTCACTGAGAAGAGCCTGAATAGCCTCTTGTTATACTGCAGTAGAAGTATTTCCACTGAGTAATCAGTCAGTAGACTAGCATTTACGAAGCACCTAGTATATGCCAGCCACGGTGTTAAGTGCTGGGGTTACAAAGAAAGGAGAAACATAATTCCTGTTCTTCTCAAGGAGCTCACAGTCAAATGACGGAGACAATATGCAAACAATTACATATAGACAAGTTATATAAGATATGTTGTATATAATATCAGAGGGAAGGCACCAGCATTAAGGAGGATAAGGAAAGGATTCTTGTAGAATGTGGGACTTTTTAGCTGAGACTTGAAGGAAGCCAGAAAGTGGATATAAGAAATGAAAGAATTCCGGACATGGGGAAAGCCAGTGAAAATACTCTGGACTCTTGGGGGGGGGGGCATCTAATATAGCTTTCACTCTCAATGAATTCTCTCATGTGTCCAGTTCAGTCTCTCCTATTGTGGTGTCAACCAGTTTTATCCCACCCTGGGGTGTCTGTGGAATTCATGACATCCTACACTAAAGACTGTTCCTTGGGTTGGGGTCTAAGGAGACGTATTCGAAGTTGAGAAACACTGATGTGAAGGGGAATTAAAAAGACATCCTTCTCCTTTTCTCCTTTTCCACACTGTGAGGTCTCACAACCTGGAGCTTTCAGCAGCAGGCCTGGCAAAGATCCAGGCCCGAGGCACGGCATCAGCTTGGGACAGCATGAGAACACCCAAGATTCAGTTATGCCAATGCATGAAAAAGACCAGGTAAGGAGGCCAGGCCAGTGTTATGCAAAAAATCACAGAATTTCTGGTCTGAAAGGGATCTCAGAAGGAGGCTAGTCCAACCTACATCTGAGCAGGCCTTCTCTCTGCAGTATCAACAAGTGGGTACCCAGCCTCCAATTGGATAGAATAGGTACAATTTCAACAAGTAGAAGGTGAGAAGAGGGAATTCCAAACAAAGGGATCAGCATAAACAAAGACTTGGAGACCAGAAATCTAGCTCCCCAGCCCCTAGAAAAGGAGGCTAAGCAACTAAGACTGAGAAGGGTCAAGACTTAATGAGGATGCCAGAGTCGTCTTCAAGTAGCTAAATCTGAAAGATATTTTAAGGCTGTTTGGCCTCTCAGAACAGTAATGGGAGAAAGTCAGTACAATATAATAGAAAGAGTGGTGCTAGAAACAGATAGTGAGGATCCAGGTTCAAATCTCAGCTCAGCTGTTTATTAACCTGTGTGAACCGGAGCAAATCATAGCCTGGTGGCACCCGAGTTTCTAATTTGTAAAATTCTTTGATCCTTAAAGTGTTATGGGAACAGGTATTATTTCTTTATTATCAGGGCTTTCAAAAAATGGAAGAGGGTGCACTGCATCACTCAAGGTGTTAAAACAGAAGATGCTAGCCCCATGAACTTCCTGCAGTGCTGCCCAGTAATGGGGCTGGTGGCTTCTGGAGGCCATAAGTTCTATGTCACCAGAACAGACAGGGGGTGGCTGACCCCTTGTTAGGAATATTGTCAAGGGGATTTCTGCCCTTGAAGGGAGTTTGGACTAGGTGTCCAATGAAGTCCCTTCAAGCTCTGGGGTTCTGCGATTTTATAATTCTGTGAATTACCTCTGACAGCTAGGTCCTGCCTTGGGGCAGGGCAGTTAGCTTTAATGTACATGAAGAGAATTGGGCTGAAGTAACAGCCTGGGAGCTTTTCAACTCTGGTACTGTAAATCAGGTGGGAGCTGCACTTTCAGCACTGAGGGTGACACCTCTGCAGAGACTTAGGCCAAACTTCCCTTAATTGCTGAAATAATGGATCTAAGTGTCAGAGACTGCTGTGAACATCAAGGGGTAGAGATGGGCAGGAGAAGGGGGAGGAAGAAGAGGTGAAACAACTCTGGCAGGGAGATCTGTCATCTTTCTATGAGCTCCATATATTCAGTCATTCTGACATTTGAGATCAGTCATGTTAGAAATGGGAATGGAGAGGTAAGGGAAGGGAAAGGCAACAGAGGTGAATACCATGGCATCCTGATTTCAAAGGCATGTGATTTATACTTGAATTACAGAGGCAAAGAGGACACCTCCAGCCTCATACAACCCAAGCAATAGAGTGGACTGAATTTGACCAGAATTGTCAGAGTGGGTAGGCAGTGGGGCGAAGGGAACAGAACCACAGACTGGGAACCACAGACAGCTCATGTCTCAGCTCGCCCATTAGTACCTGTATGACTTCAGTCATTTCCCTTCCTCTGTCTGGTCTTCCAATTTCCCTTCTGAAAAAATGAAGGAATTGGGCTAGATGACCTAGATGTCATTTATTCTGTCTGTATCTTATTTGTACATAGGTATTTGCATGTTACCTCCCCCATTAGATGGTGAGATCCCTAAAACTGTTTTTTGCCTTACTTTATCCCTGACACTTACTACAATGCTTGGCAAATAATAGGTGCTTAATAATTGTTGATTGACTGGCAGATTGACCTCCTCTATGGTTCCTTCCAGTTCCAATGGTCAATGTTCCATTGAATTGGTGAGGGTCCATCTTAATCATTCAGAAAAAAAAGGAATACAGTTGGAAAAGCCATGACTTGTGAATCAGAAGGGCCAGACTTACTTCAGCTGTTTGTATGACTTTACACAAGTCCTTTCCTCTCTGTAAAATGACCCCTCAACTTCTCTACCATAAAGCAGCAGTTATGGATCCAGAGCTATTTGGCCATGGGACAAGTTTCTTCCCTCTCTAAGCCTCAGTTTCCTTAATTGTAAAATGAGGGTGAAAATGCTAAGGCTCCTTCAATGTCTAAATCGTGTCATCCCATGCAGCATCAGGAACCAATTCCCTTCCCATATCACTATCCCTAAGCAGTTCTCTCACCTATGCCTGGGGATTGGAGAAACACTTTATATATTCTCATTGGCTCTTGTAGGAAAGTCTAACAAATCCCAAAGAGCAACCTAGACTCTCAGCCCCAGAAGGGAAGGGACCACAGAGCTCATTAACATAATTCTCACTAACATTCATATAGCACTTTACATAATCATCTTATTTGTTCCTTATAACAGTCCCATGAGATAGTGTAGATATTCTTATCCCCGTTTTATACATGAGAAAACTGAGGCTCTAAAAGAGACTAATAGGATTGCAGAACTTGAAGGGAGACATCATTGAGGTCTTGGAGAAGGTAAATAATTGACCTACCATTGTATGGCTGGTAGGCAGCCAATGGATGGGCAGCTAGGTGGTACAGTGAATAGAGAACTCAGACCTGAGTTTAAATCTGGCCTTAGATACTTACTAGCTATGTGACCCTGAGCACTTCCCTTAACCCTGTTTGCCTCAATTTTCTCATTATAAAATGAGCTGGAGGGGCAGCTAGGTGGTGCAATGGATAGAGCACTGGCCCTGAAGTCAGGAGGACCTGAGTTCAAATCCAGTGTCAGACCAAACACTTGACACTTACTAGTTGTGTGACCCTGGGCAAGTCACTTAACCCCAATTGCCAAAAGAAAAAAAAATTAAATGAGCTGGAGAAGGAAATGGCAAGCTGGTCCAGTGGCTTTGTGAAGAAAACCCCAAAAATAGGTCACAAAGAATCAGACATGACTGAACAACAACTTCAAAGTGGCCAGTGGAGAATTTGATCCTTCCTCACATTCTGAGACTGGCACTTTCACCATGTTGCCCAAGGCCTGGAGGCCAGGACTTGAACTAAATTCTTCTAAGTTTAAGCTCAAGGCTTCTGACTGTGCATAAAAAGCTCATTTTATGATACCACAGATCTCCAAACTGTATTTGAGTAGCATCTCCAGTAAGTGACTGTCAAATCTGACCTCCAGTGACAAGAAATTCGCTGTCTCCTAATGTAGCTCATTCCACATTTTGACAACATGGATTGATGGGAAGGTTTTCTTTGTGTTAAACTAAAATTGGCCTCTGCAGATTTACCATCCCATGCCCAAAGGCCACCTCCAGTCATTCGGATCTATTGTGGTTTGTCCTTCATTCTTGAAGAGGACCATGACATTAAGGAGATGAAGATATGACTTGTAATTGACTTTGATTTGAGTGAGAGAGGACTGTACAAAGTCACCAGCCTCACTTTCTCCTCCAGAGCCATCTGGGTCCAGTGACCAGATATCAATCAGGATGACTGGAGACAGTCCAGGATGCAGTGGGAGACCTTGACCCTTTTAAGCTAAGGTCTTTCTAGGTGCTCACTTTGAAAAGGGGCCATCCCTTGACTCATCCTGATCTTTATGGTCCTCTTCCAGAACAAAGGACAAACGACAATCCCATGCCCACTTTGATGAAGCCCAGGGAGAACAGTCCTCTTGGTTGGCCCACTGAAGCCCCTTCCAGCTTTGGTATTCTGTAATTGGAGAAAGGACCTTCCTGGGGTGGAGCTGTGGATGTGTACATCGAAGTGTGCAATACTGGCTTTTTGAGGGCCCATGAGGACAGCGTGTGAGGGGGCAGGTGAAAAGGAGAGCATGAGCCCTACCTGATGTTATGACCTGGATAGGGCAAGAAGGGACCCATCCTAGAATGGGAAGGGAAGAGTCTACCTAGTCCGACTCCTGGACCCCTGGGGGACATTAGCCAGCCAGGCTAGGCATACAGAATGTTCACTAATGGGAGTTAAAAACTTCATTTAGGAAGGCCAAAGGATTTCCCAGCATTGGAGGATTTGGAGGTCATCAATTCCAACCTCCTCATCTTGATCATAAGAAAACTGAGGCTTAATGAAGTTATGGGATTTTCCCAAAAATAAACAACCTAGAGAAGCAATATTGTAGAGGGCTAAGCACAAAGTCAGGAAGATCTAGTTTTAAGTTCCTGCCTTGGATATAAACTAATTGTGTGACTCTGGACAGCTCCTGGCAGTCCTCTAAGACTGCAAGTTACAGGCTGGATGCTAAGCTGTATTGGTAGAGGAAGTTTCCTTTAAAAAAAAATTGGTTTATTTTTCTTACAAGAATTTGTTATCTCTCCCTCCCACTGTCCCAGCAGCACCACTACCACCATTGAACAATTTTAAAAAGAAAAATCTTGTGCACAGCAGAGAACAAAAGAAAACTCAGAAGGAAGCAAAGATGGGCAGCACTCAACACAATGCATAGTATTTATTATATAGACTTTCTTGAAATGGAAATGTATTGCTGTATATTTTGAATCCTCTCTTACATTCTACTGTGCACACAGCAATGCTTTTTTTCTTTTCTTATTTTGTATTTAAATTTCAGTATTTAAGTTTACAATATGTTTCTTTTTCTTTTCTTATTGTGTATTTAAGTTTCAGTATTTAAGTCTAAAAATTTAAAAAACCAAAAACCTCATAGCAAATATATGAATAAGTCTACCAAAATAAATTCCCACATTGGCCATGTCCAAAAATGTACGTCTCCATGTTAAGTCCGTCACCTCTCTGCAAGGAGGTGGGTGATGAATGTCATCTTCAGACCTGGGAGAGGGAGTTTTCTCATCAGGAGTTCCTCATACCGATGAAATTACCTGGACTGTTGCAATAGTCAGCTGGTGGGTAGCTTATTTGTATATAGGTGTTCTCATGCTGCCTTCCCGAACAGACTGCAAAGCTCCTCAAGGGCAGGGACTGTCTCTTACCTTTCTTTGTATCCCCAGAGCTTCGCCTGGACCATTTTTGTTGTTATTAGGTTGTTTTAGCCATGTCTGACTCTTCATGACCCCTTTTTTGGGTTTTCTTGGCAGAGATAATGGAGGAATTTGCCATTACCTTCTCTAGTTCATTTTACAGATGAGGAAACTGAGGCCAAGCATTAAGTGACTTGCCCAGAGTCACACAGGTAGTAAGAGCTGAGGCCAGATTTGAACTCAGGTCTTCATGACTCCAGGCCTGGTGCTCTATCCATTGTGCCATCTAGCTGCCCCTGGGAGATGACACATAGTAGGTGCTTATTAACTAACTGAAATCACAGTAGTAGTCCAGAAATATGTAATAAATAATGTAGATGTGGGAATCAAACTCTGGTCCCTTGACTCCAAGCCCAGGGCTTTTTCTATCATCAAGCTCTTTGCCTGTCTGCTTCCCTAATAGCACATCAAGGTACTGACAGACAAGGCCCAGCCCTCCTGACCTTCAGGGACTTTATCATTCAGCCAGACTGGTCTTCTTGCCATACCTCAAATAATAACCCATCTTCTCTCTGCACCTTTGCAGGAGTGCACACCCTGTTCATCTCTCTCTGTCTCTTAAAATCCATCATTTCCCTCCCAACTCAGTTCATACTACCTTTTATAGGAAGCCTTTCCTGATCCCCCCTAGATGCTAGGGCCTTCTCCCCTCCCCTCAAAAAAAAATAACTTCAATTTCTTTTGTATATACATACACACACATATACATACATATCTTCCCCCAGGAGAATATAAACTCCATGAAGATAATGAATATTTTTCACTTTTGTATCTCAAATGCCAAGCACAGTTCCTGGCACACAGTTGATGCTTAATAAATGAATATGCATTTATTAATTGATTAAATGTTTTCCCCCTCCCAGACTGGCGGTTGTAAGTGCCCGCCTTCCATCCTGAGACGGAAACCACCAGAGTGCCCTATAACAGGTGATAGGAGAAGGGCTGAGAGGCGGGTACGCTTCCAGGAGCCTGAGAAGACAGCTGTGCATGGTAAGCATGCAGGAGAGGACGTGGGCACTGGTGTGGTCCTGTGGGAGGCAATGGATGACGTGCTTCAGATTTTTGGACTTCTAATCCAATGTTCTTTCTACAGTCCTCTCTATCGCCTTCCTTTCCCATAGACAGGGCCATGGAGTACATTTGCAAAGCCCTAGTTGTGTTATCAGCTCCCACTCTGATTATTAATTTATTATTGGTAAAATTAAGCCCTCTTGAACCTCTAAAGTGAAGAGAAACTCTATTTATTCCGAATCCAATAATACTACCATCTTCCATGTGCACAGCCCTACAGCTTAAAGTAATTTCAAATACATTCTTTTTTGATCTCCACAACAACCCTGATGGAAAATCATGGCAGACATTATTATCACCATTTTAGAGATAGAGAAGCTGAGGGCCAACAAGAGGAAGTACCTTTCCCAGCATCACAGAGCTCACCTGTATTGGAGCAAGAACTGGAAGACAATTCTTCCAACTCCTAAGCCAATATTCCATCCATTACACTGAGTTCATTGTTTAGTCACATCCAACTCTTCATGACCCCATTTGGAGTTTTCCAGGCAAAGATAATGGAGCAGTTTGCCACTTTTTCTGTGCCTCATTTTACAGATAAAGAAACTGAGGCAAACAGAGGTTAAGTGACTTACTCAGAGTCACATAGCTAATACATGTCTGAGGCCAGATTTGAACTCAATTCTTCCTGACTCCAGAGCTGGCTTTCTATCCACTTAGCTGCCTATATTTTTATTTTTATTACCCTGAGCTACTTCTCAATAAAACCAGAAAGTTCAAATTCTCAAAATGATGTTTGCATCTTGTACAATGACAAAAGAGAGTCACAATAGTGACTCAAGGTCATGGTAAAAAAAATTTTTTTTAAAACCAGTCTGAATCATTAAGGGAAAATTACTATAAAACCCTATAGGTAAAACACAGTGCCTGTCCTCAGAGAGGCAGCTAGGTGACACAGTAAGTAGAACACTGCCCATTCATCATCATCATCGATTTAGATCTGGAAGTGACCTTAGAGAACTCCTAATTCAACCCCCTCATTTTACAGGTGAGGAAATTGAAACCCAGGGGGCTAAATGATTTGCCTGACATTGAACAGGGCAGATTTGATCTCAGATCTTTCCGACTCTAGGCCCAGAACTCAATCTACCTCTCTACCTTCCTGTCTCCATGATGAGCATGTCCTGCATTAGTCCATTGGGTCCTAGCTAGGACTTGGAACCGAAAAGGACTTTAGAGATCATCTTGTACTGGGGTTCTTCACCCTTTTTATGTCATAGATCCCTTTGGGAATCTGATGAAGCATAGCTATGGACCCCCCCTCAGAATCACATTTTTTAAATGCATAAATTAAGGAAACCAATTATATTGAAATACAGCTATCAAAATGTTATAAAAGCAAGTTTATAGATCTCCAGACTAAGAGCCCTGGATTTAATCTAATATTTTATAGGAAGTAACTAAAGCCCATTGAGGTTAAAAGGACTTGCCCATGTTCACACAAATAGCAAGTAATAGAATGTAGATTCAAGCCTAGATCTCCCTTCAAATCCAAAGATTTGTAGACTGCACCATACTGCCTTTCCTAAAGAGAAGTCACCAGAGGAAAAAAAAAATAACAGATTAGCTTCAATAGCCACCCAAGAAATGAAGCTTGATCTAATACCAAAAATAAAGCAAACACACCAATATTGGATAATAATCACTTTAAAGAGAATTAACAATTGTTTTGGCATCTGTAAAGAAGTATCTATTATCTATAATGGGAGTTCTATCATCAATAAAAATGTAACAAACTGAGGGCAGAAATCAGCTACATGGAAAAAGCAGTGGAAAATTTAAATAAAGAAATGGGATCAATGGGATATGAAATTCTCTTGCTGGAAGGTAAATTAGAAGCAAAAGAGCATGAAGCAAAACAAGGTCAAAGGATAACTCTACTGGAAGAAGGTTTGATGACTTTAGAAGCAAAAATGGAACTAGGAGACAGCTTAGAGAGAGAATTTGTTATTAGATTACCTGAAAATAAAAAAAAAATAAAGTCTAACCAATGTTTTTCATAAAACTATTTAAGAAAAGTTCCCAGAAATAACAAGATTTCAAGGCAACTATAGATAGATAGAATTCACCAGACTTCCTCAGAGAGAAAAGTCATATTCAACTCACCCAAACACATATTGTCCTCAAACATCAAAGGTGCCCCAATTTGAATTGCACAGGATTATTCACCCATCATGAGAAAACAGAGAAAAAGCTGGAACATGATGCATAGAAAGTAAAGAAAATGGGACTTCATCTGTGAATCTTCTACTGAGCTAAAGAAACTAAAGAAAATATTCAAAGATAAACAACATACGTTTATTTCCTCACGACATTTCCGAGTTTCTGTAGTAAAAAGACTGACTGGTGCCTTTCATATGCAAATCAACCCAGGAACAAGCCTCCAGGTACTATAATTCCTGGAGAGACCATTTTTGAAATGCAAATCATTGGTGACCATGAAGTAAAATTCTGAAGCTGTAAATCATAGGAGACTGTGTAAATGTTATATGGGGTTAGCAAAATAACAATAGCTGTGTTATGACCTGAAATTATCTCATGGGGTAGAAGAACAGAAGTGGATGGGAATGAATTATCATTCATGCTCAAAGGGAACAAAAATTCAGAGGGGTTGTTATAGTCTGCTGTGCTCTCGTGGGATGAGAGCACAGGCTCGGGAAGGGAAACATGTAAATGTTGTACAGAAATAGCAACACTTCTGCAGTTAGGCAGAGAAGCCTGCAATTGTGTTATTAGAGGACGAGGTATCAGAAAGTACATCAGAAAGACCAGAATGTTGGCATGGTTCCTACCCTGGGACCATCACGTGGGATCATCCAAACAACAAAGTATTTTTCACAATTAGCAAATGCCAGCAGCAAGGACTTTTTGATTGACGATTGAAGGTCACAAATGGGCTCCTGGGATTAGGGGTGGAGAAGAGGGAAAGAGGGGAGTGTTGGAGATAAGTGAACCAACAAATCATATTTATAAGCCTGGTGCAACAAATAACAAAAGTAAATGAAGGGTCAGGAAGAGGAAGTTTTTGATTACGAAGGTCACAAATACTTAACAAAAAAGATTGGGGAAAAGAGGGGAGGGTGAGTAATCTTAAAAACAACACTCCTAGGGAGGAAAGGTGAGAAAGAGAAGTCACTCAAAAAGCATTTATTAAGTACCTACTATGTGACAGGTACTGTGTTAGGTACCATAAAGAAAAAAATACGTAGTCAGTTGAACCAGTCCAGAAATTAGAATTAGTGCTTTGTGACTGTGTTGAGATATCCGTGTTTGGGGGGGGCTGATTGTGTCAGGCACTGTTTGAAGTCCCAGGGATACAAGGGAGGGGGGCCAGGGAGGAGCCCTACCCTTAAGGAATATACTAATGAAAATAAATGAACTAATGCAGAAACTGGAGTTAGTATCTGGATTCAGATTTTGTCAAAGGTTTTGGTCATCACAGGAAGTGTCTGTATGATAGATGTTTCAGTAGGTCGAGTGCTGGGCCTGGTGTCAAGAACACCTGAGTTCAAATCTAGTCTCAGACACTTACTAGCTGTGAGACCCTAGGCAAGTCACTTAACTTCTGTTTGCCTCAGTTTCCTCATCTGTAAAATAAGGATAATAACAGCACCCACCTCCCAGGGTTGTTGTAAGGATCAAGTGGGATAATAATTATAAAGTGGTTAGCACAGTGCCTGACACATATTAAGTGCTATATAAATGTTAGCTATTATTAATTTATACAGAACACATGACAGAAAGATATAGGCCCAAATAGAGATGAAAAAGTAAAAATGACTTGTTTATGACTAGATCAAAGACCAAATTATAGAAAAATATACACACATATGTATAATGATGCAGCATACCAAAATTTGTGGAACGCAATTGAAGTAGTTCTAAGACAATTTTTTTACCTATTAATAAAAGAAGGAAAAAAAAGATCAATGCACTCTTTTTAGTTTAAAAAAAATTAGACTATCAGCAAATTAATACTTAAATGTCTTTAAGGTCAAATGAGAATTAACAAAATTTAAATAAGAAAGCCAATTTGATTAATAAGCAAAACAAGTTTAAAAGGCATTTAAATTAATAAACTATTACTTGTGTTAACAAAAAAGAAGACGAAAGGAAACTAGTTGTCCAGAGTGAAAAATAATAAGGGAGAAATCATAAAAAGTCATAAAGAAATAAAGGAAATTATTAGAGAATACTATGCAGTATTATATGGCCAAAAATGAGAATGCAAAAGAAATTATTGAATACCTACAAAAACATAAAATGCTCAAATATACAAAATGTAAAATAAATTATATCAGTAAATAAATATTGGAAAAAACAACCGAATGAACTCCCCTTTAAGAAAAAAAAATTCAGCAGAACCAGATGTATTCGTGAGTGAATTCTAACAAACATTCAAAAAACAAATGATCACAAGTGATCAAAATTTCTACCCAATTCCTTCTATGAGACAAATACGGTTTTAATATGCAAAGCGGGGAATGGCATGGCAGAGAAAGAAAACTATAGATCAAATAAATGAATATAGGTACAAAAATATTAAATAAATTACCAGCAGATGCAATATGTCCACAATTTACTCATCATTATCAAGTGGAACTTACAGGAAGATTATAAGGATAGTTAAAAATTAGGAAGTTAATTGTCACAGTATAGGCTCACCATTATTAATCAATATAACCCTAGAAATATTGGCAATAGCAATAAGAAAAATGAAGGAATAGGCATTGGCAAGAAGAAAAAAATATCTCTACTTGCCAATGATTTGATAGTTTATTTAGATAACCAATAAAATAATAATAATATTAATGAAAATAACAAGTCAGTATAAGCAAAGTAACAGGATATGAGACAAACTCATAAAAATTGGTAACATTTCATTATATCACTAAGAAAGATCAGGAAAAAGTATAATA